GAAAGAAACGTTAGCAGAGAATTCACTTCCGCTTGTACTTGTACTTGTACAGCCGTCTTGCAAGGATGGCAGAGAATTCACACAGCCAAAAAGTATATATATGAAACAAAATTTTGCATTCACTGCTCTCTATTCTCTCCATGATAGCCTGCCCTTTCTCCATAGCGCTCTAACGAGTAACTACAGAAACTTTCTGTGCTATTTTGTTAGAAACACGTTTTCCTTAAGAAAATGGGTTTTCTACCATAATTATCATTATTGTTATTATTAGGTTTTATTAGATATGGTTAGTAGTCTTTCAGCAGAATTAGGTTTAGTATTAGGTTTTCCTATCTTTCGTTATAAATATGTACTTTGCGTTTTATTCATAATCAAGCAAGAACAATTATTCAGAAAAGTATCTCAAACCCTAATCTCTCTCAATTTCGTCACCTATCCCTAGGCCGACGGCCATTCTTCTTCTCGATCCCCAATTTCTCTTCTAAATCTCTAATTCCCAATTCTGTTCTTCCCCAATTCTATCTCAATCCCTAAATATCTATTAATTCTCAATCTTATCAACCCGATTGTTAGAATCCTAGAATTAGGTTTCTAACATTTGGTATCAGAGCCCGGTTCGAGAATTGAGTTCGCCACAACTCTCAACCGGGGACGAGTTCTACAACTGGTTCGACGATTAGCTCTTCAAAACTCTCGAACCTGTCGTGGGCAGAGCTGCGTGACCGGGCTCGCCGCATCGGACGCCGTTGGAGCTCCGAAGAGTCGCCGACCGTGCAAGCAGAGACGGTGACCCGAATCGCCGACGGCGAGCGACCACCAATGTCCGCTGAGACCGACGAAGCGGTGGAAGTCACCGTCGGAGGGAGTGACACGGAACCGGTGATGGAGGAGGAGGGTACGGACGGAGACATGACAGAGGAGCAGCAGCTACCAGTCCGACCTGTGACGGCGGACGACGAGCAAGAGCACGACGAACATAAGAAGGAAGAGGTAGAGTCGAGTTGCTGAGGCGATGTATCGCCAACAGAGAGGAAGAAGGAAGAGATGGCGATGGGCGGTCGGTTCAGGTTGCCAGAGACACGAGCAGCGCGGGTGGCTCAGCTAAGCCTGCCATCTTCCCTTGCGGATCCGGGCGAGAGCTCGACAGAGGTTGCTCTGGCGACGTCGGGTGGAAGAACGAAGAAGGAGGGTGGCGACAACCATTCCTCACGCAAGCTCCTCCCATTCCACGAACTACAGCAGCAACGAAGGGGAGTGGGCCAAGGGGAGGCTGTTGCCTGCCCTACTGGGCCAAGGCATGGGCCTGCTCTAGCAAGGCTCAACTGGGTTTGGCTGGACCAGGTTAGTGGGCTGAGAGTGGAGCAGCAAAGCGGGCCAGAAGTGGAAGTGGTTTGGGCCCAGCAAAAGCCTGAGTATAGACCGCATACCGACTGGCTAGTTAGGCCATATCTGAGCTGTCTACAGAAAATTGAGCCCAACGTGGGCTATGCTTTGAAGACAATGGGCTCTATGATTTTCAAGGGCTCTTCTTTGGAATTTGCAGGTGGGCTTATAAGGGAGCCAAGCCCACACGTGATTGAGAAGAAGATGAGGAGCACCATGAGGCCTAACATTGGTTTGGGCTCTAGCTCTTCCGTCCAATCAATTGTGGGTCAAGTCCAAGATAGAGGAGGAGATTGGATTATTTTCACATCCAAGTCAATGTAGGAGTTTATGGAGCATGAAGAAGAACATCTCTCCAATTCTTATTTCGTGGATTTTGCGAACGAAGGGGAAGAGTTGTTTGGCTATGGAGACCGTGACCCGTGTCACGTGGTTCGAGAAAAGTGGAGGAGAGTCGGGGTCACTGGAGTGGGCTTCGTCCGAGTAGTGGAGCACGATTGGAAGAAAAGAAAACGCAATAAATGGAGGAGCCACAACGTGGATTGCACAATAGACGGGAAGAAGTGGGTCGAATTGATCAACCTTGAGGGCAAGGTTGGTCTCAAGGGGGAGGGGATGTTAGAAACACGTTTTCCTTAAGAAAATGGGTTTTCTACCATAATTATCATTATTGTTATTATTAGGTTTTATTAGATATGGTTAGTAGTCTTTCAGCAGAATTAGGTTTAGTATTAGGTTTTCCTATCTTTCGTTATAAATATGTACTTTGCGTTTTATTCATAATCAAGCAAGAATAATTATTCAGAAAAGTATCTCAAACCCTAATCTCTCTCAATTTCGTCACCTATCCCTAGGCCGACGGTCATTCTTCTCCTCGATCCCCAATTTCTCTTCTAAATCTCTAATTCCCAATTCTGTTCTTCCCCAATTCTATCTCAATCCCTAAATATCTATTAATTCTCAATCTTATCAACCCGATTGTTAGAATTCTAGAATTAGGTTTCTAACATATTTGCACTTCTCAAACATTTTAATTTCATACCAGGCCTCAGTCTCAGACTTGGGTTTTTTAGGGTATGAAATTAAAACGTTAGATGTTAAGTTGATTTTAACGGCCGGCCCTAACATAACATAGTTTGGTCCAGCGCAAAATCGGATTAATTTGAAATTGTTGTATCAGAATTTTTTTTATAACAAAAGTGTATTGGATTGGATAAGAGTCTTCAATTTAAGAACTTATTTATAAAAAAAAAATGAAAAATTTTAAGAACTTAAGTGTACATGAGTTCGTTGAAAATATTGATTCCAATTGATTAGATTAAAAAATTATAGAATAATAGCAAAAATATCCAATGTATTGAAGAATACTAAAAAATTTATCAATGTTTGATGTATAAGGTAGAAAAAATCATCAACACAAGATAATGGTGACTCAAAATAAAATATGAGAGTTGTGATCAATAGCTTAACTCTAGATGTGTTTAGTGTGAGTAAAATTCAATTCTTTCGAATAAATGTCTTATGCATGAGGTGATGATATAATAAGTCAATGTTAACACTAGTAAGGCCATGTTTGTTACAATTTTAAAAATTAGAGAGTGCCTACATATTTAAGTGAGTAAGTTTCCATTTTTTAAGATATTGGAGTAAACCAAAATATCACTTCAACAAACCCTAAAACCTAAATTGATAAAAAGATGAAGGCAACTGGATAGAGAAATGAAATTTAGGTATCGATTGGATTAGAGATTGTTAAGATAAGAGGTTTGGGCCAAAAGTTTCATTTCGAAAATGGAATTTTTAGTTCAAAGATATTTGGATAAATATCACGATTTGGATTGGACTTTGACTTCCACAAAGTTGTAGCTTGTGTTTCTGGAATACGAGATGGGGGATTGGAACCTGATTTCTTCTTTTTCTATTTTTCTTCCCTCTCTAGTATTGTGATTCTCCTTCTTTGTTTCTTTTATCCTTCTTCCCTAAATATAAGAAGCAAATAGAAACTAAAATATAATAGAAGCCATACCAACAAACCTTATCTACTCCTTCTACTCTTTTTGGATAAGGAAGACCAAGGGAAAACTAGACTCAAGTATGAGTTTTTTTAGGTTGCATGATCACAAACAAATCCCAGTCAATCAAATATGATTACATCAACATTGGGATAGGAACAATGGACAATAACGAGGGGGATATCCATCGGCGAGAAGTCAATATTCGAACAATTACAAGCGACTGAAGCTTGGCGGACAGCTTTGAGTGGAAGTAACAAAGGCAGCGACGCAAAAGAAGTAGTATCTTGGTAGCGAAAGTAATCTGGTAAAAGGTTAGAGATGGTGGTGGTTGGAGAAATTTGTGTGATGGATGATGAAAATTTCGGTTATTCATCATCTAAATCTAAATTTATGAGTGTAATATTTTGTTTGAAAAAAAAAAGACAAAGACAACTTGAGAATAAACAATAAGAGGAAATGATACTTCAAAATTTGTATTATCTATTTTGAAACCCACATTTATGGTTTCAAAATCTCTACTTTTTGTCTCCTTCTCAAAGTGAATTTTACAAAATTCCACATTATGTAAAATTGTGTTGAATCTTAAGTCAATTCTATTGGTTGATAGTAATTTAGGTAGTTAATAGATTGTTAGTAGTTAATTGTGGTTACAAACTTAAGAAACTTCTTAAGTTTTAGGCTGAAGGACAGGATCCAACCCGTTCTTTTTCCTCCTGGGGTGTTCGATGTATAATGATATTAGTTGCGAAGAAGAAGATGGACGTTGAAGGAGGAAGGACGAGAAGCTTTGCCGGTCCAGTAGAATGCAGAGAAAGAAGAAGAGCAGGGTGGAAAATGCCGATGCTTGGCCAACCTCCATGCGTGAACTATAGACTCAGCTTCATTTGCAGACCACTATATGCTTCTCCTAGCCTAATTTACCTAACAATTCAGCAACTCGTACAACACCATCAGCAGCAAGCACAAGTTTAGGAATCTCAGTTTCTCGTGGCAGCTCAGTACAATAATCAGTGTTCAAGAAGACGCGGTTAATCTCTCGCCTAGGCGCGATTAATAGCTGGGATGAGGAAATCGCCCCGTCTAGTTCTGGGCGATTGATTTAGGCGTGCTAAACGATTAATCTCCATGGAAAACGCCTAATCGGTGCCTAGGCACTCGAAGGCGCGTTTTCACTCTGGTGGGCGACGCCCAGAACAACTAATAAAGGGGGAAAGTGTAACCTTTTTGTGGAAATCCAAAATCCTATTCTATTTTCCATTTCCACTCGACCAGCCGCTCACCCTATTCGACCAGCACCGAGATCCCTCCTCATGGTTGGCGACTTGGGATGTTTAGAATTGTGGAAAAGGGTTGTATGTGTATATGAATGGATGAATAATGATATGGCGACTTGGGTTTTTTTGGAATATAGCTTATCTATCAAATATTTTTTTCAACGTTTAATCTCGCCTAGACAACAACTAATCGACCTGGACGTTGGGCGGTGCCTCCTCGCCTAAATAGCGCCTAGCTTCTTGAACATTCTACATGGTTGTAGCCGGAGCTTCTACCTCACTAGAAATCTCTTTCTCTTGTACAACCATTTTACCAGGATGCAGAGAACTCACACAACCAAAATCATATACATGAATCAAAATTTCGCATCACTGTTTTGTCTTTACAACTGATATTTGTACACAACTTTGACATTCTTTGAAAAGAGTGAAACTTGGGATAGTCGGAAGGATAAAAGCACTTAGGTCAGAGAAACACACAAGTGACATTCAACATACGAAAGAATTCAATGCCTAACGAAGTAAGGCATTAATTTTCCCTATGATTACAATGCTTGATATGGTGAGGGGGAAACCGGATGTTCAAATGGGAAGAAGAAACTGGATATTCAAGTGGAAAATAACACAATTGGGTGAACTTCACTCAGTAACACTCTCCAGTAGAGAAACACAACATATTTACTCCAGCTTCTCCAGCTCTCCCATTCTCTCTATGATAGCCTGCAAATTGTCATCGTAAATATCATAATGCATCCTAATTTGACCAATTATTCTCACTTTAACCTCGTATTTAGTATCTACAACTCTCACTAAGATCAGAGATGACACAAAAATTATTCGTATGGAGGTGTCGGAATGAATTCCAGCACGCTAGAGTATGTAAGGAATTGTAAGAGCATAAGAAAATATGCATACCCTCTTGCTTGTTTCTTGGAGCTCTCCAGCAAGAATGAATTCATCAAGTATCAAGTACACCTTCAAGAGAGCAAAGAAAAAGACCAAAATGAGAAGTGAGCGGGGCAGAGTGAATGCATATACACTGATTCTATAACTGGGACTCCTCTCACTGAGAGAGGACCAGGACCTTGCAAATCAGAGAAAAATTAAGGGAGTACCAGTACCTTGTGAAAGTTAAAGACTAAGTCAAGCTCACACACATTGCTGAAGAAATGATCCAATATCTCGACGAACAAATGGATGCATTCCAAATAAGCCAATTCGTTATCCGTTATATCCACACATAGCGAGAAGAACAATCCAGCGTACCGTCGGTAAATCACCTTGTGCGTCCGGAACTGCATCATGGGGGAAAATAACCATCATGTAAATAACAAGACTAACAGCTAGAGCAAGACACTGGTAGTTCTGATTATAACAAGACTAAGAAGCAACATATTCGATTGGTAGTAATGAATACAAAACACACATTGCGAAAAGCTTAATCACAAAACTTGGGGGGAAAACCAGTTAGAGATAGAAGGGTTCCTGCTGAAATCCGAAAAAAATCCCTCAAGTAATCACACAACTGAGAGCTCCAACAACAGTTCTTCCTAAGTTGCAGCAGAATTTCCACCACATCTATATCTTATTACAATGACTAAACATCAAGCCGTTCCATTTATCGAAGAGATCCTAAATGGGGAGAGAAGAGCAATCACCAACCTCGACGAAATTCGTGAACTTGGGATCTCGATTGACCACCAGCCGATGAACCTACCAGGAAAAGAACAATAATACATCAGCAATTGGAAGTTCGAACCAAAGGTATCATCCAAATCTGCCCCTACCAATGAAGCTAAGAAGATGGAGAAAAAAAAACCCGGAATGAAATGGCGATGTTTCGCGAACTCACCTCGTACTCGACTTTGTGCTTCTCCGAATCCTCGAGAGGTACGTAGTACTTGGCGAGACGAGTCTTCCCCTGCCTGTTCTGTAGAAGTATGAACCGGATCTGCCAATCAACATTACAGCAAAACAAACAATGCCCAGCTCAGAAATCAATCAGAGAAAACAAACGACGGCCCGTGTGTTACCATTGAACGAGCACGGAGTGATTAATTGGGGAGGTACCATTTTTTCAAACAAAGCTACGTATCGCTGCCGATTTCTACTATGGAGGCCGGTGTTTCAGATGGCGGAAGTAAGGAACAACTCTGCCTTCGTCTTCTTCTGGCTTTCCTTTACTCTTTTTTTCTTTCTGAATCGTCAAATTTGTCCAGGAGCAGATCGGGTTGAATTTTCCGCGAGAAAGGAAGAAGGGGAGCGGATCCGTTACTGACGGTCAATTAAAAGACAGACCCTAGACCAATTTTTTTTTATTTTTTTTTGACAAATCTAGACCAATTATTTTCAGCAAAGGTTGTCAAACTAGATTAATCCACCAAGTTGGTTTGACAATTGGTTTGAGATTTAAGGGTTGATTTATATTTTACAAATTTAAGTCAATTTTAATATAATATGTGAAAAAACTTCATTTGACATATTCTTCAAAATAAATAGGACTTTGCTACGGTGACATGCATGTCACGGTGACATGCACTTTTCGGTCGACCTCATATAGGATGAGGTCGACCTAATCAGTTGTTTTAGTGTACAAACAGTTTCATGGTGTCTACTTTGGAGATTCATATCTTACAATTGGCTAGATGGAAATTGGAGATTAAAGGCTTATTTTGAAGCTGAAGTGTCCCTCTACACATTAAAGTACTTGGGAGCTCAATAGAAAGTCCAGAAGATCATTTTTGAACCTGACCAAAAGGCTATGCCAAAACTGGGAAACAACCTGAAAATGGCTAAGTCTGGCAACGTGTTTGTCAAGCCTACTTTGGAGCTCAATTTGACAAGCATGGATCCGAGTCAAGTCCAGGGGCCTTTACCACGTTAAATTACATATTTTTTTATGCAAAGGCAAGACATTGAATGAAAGATTGAATATCTTTAAGGCTTCAAACAAAAGGCTCGAAGTTGCTACGAAGGTTGTTTTTCTGGCAGCTTGCTTGTGCTCGAAGTCTGCCAGAAAAACAGCCTTCGTAGCAACTTCGACCCTTTTGTTTGAAGCCTTAAAGATATCCAATCTTTCATCCAATTCATTGAATTTGTATAAAAACATACCTAATTTAACGTGGTAGAGGCTCCTGGACTCGACTCGCATTCATGCTTCTCGAATTGAGCTCAAAAATAGGCTTCACAAACACGTTTCCGGACTTAGCCATTTCTAGGCAGTTTCCCAGTTTTGGCATAGCCTTTTGATGAGGTTCAAAAATGGTCTTCTGGACTTCCTATCGAGCTCTCAATCACTTCAATATGTAGAGGGACACTCCAGCTTCAAAACAAGTCATTAGTCTTCAATTTCCATCTAGCCAATTGTATGATATGAATATCCAAAGTAGGCACCATGAACTGTTTTTACACTGAAACAACATATTAGGTCGACCGGATCCTATATGAGGTCGACCGAATCCTAAATGAGGTCGACCGGATCCTATATGAGGTCGACCGAATTCTATATGAGGTTGACCTAATCCTAACTGAGGTCGACCGGAAAGTGCAAGTCACCATGACATGCATGTCACCATAGGCACACCCAAATAAATATATATTACAAAATTATCAATCCTCATATTCAAAATCGGTTTTGACTAGGTGAACCACCCAATTTTAAATGGTTTAATCAAATTTTGACTAGTCAAGCTCATTTTGACTTTTTTGTTTAACCGTCCAACCGAAGTGTATTCCAATCATTTAGATGAATGCTTCCCATTAGATTCGGTTGAATCGGTTGGCTGGATTGGGGTTTGACAACCTTAATTTTCAGCATTCGGATAATTTAAGGGCTTTAGAAAATCCAGGTCAAAGCTGTTTAAAATGCAAAATTTAGGAGAAATTAGGGTATTAACCTTCTTAATTTCAAATGCAGTAAATGGTACTAGGAGTACATAGAAATCATATTAATTATACTCTAGACATCCACTTTTATACATTTTGGGGAAAATGTAACGTTTATCTATACTTTTTCCTATTGGAGATACCATGATAGTATGAAAATATTTTATGACCGGAGAAATATATCATAGTTAAAATAAGTGATATTCATGATGGTAGAAATATGCTAATCGTCATCTAATACGATCTAGCACTGTTCGTAATATGGTCTAGCACTATCCGTAAGTCTGTCACTAGTACTCACTACTATAGTAGAGGGTGATAGAAGGTGATATAACTAGTAAGAAATTTTTTTCCATGAAATATATTGAGAATGAATATAAATTTATAGTTTAGATAGGTGATAGAAATATGTTAATCATCATCTAACTGTAAAGAACTAGTTGCTCCCAATAACTCGAGTTGTTGGGAGAAGGTTCTGTTGGATCTTATACCACACTCTAACACGCCCCCTCAAACGAAAGTCAACTCACGGGCTTGAAGTTTGCACAGGCCCACCATACCTTGTGCTTTAATCAAAGGTTAATATTGGAGGTCGTGGAGATTCGAACACACGACCACTTGGCTAAACCAGCTCTGATACCATGTCAAGAACGAGTTGATCTAACTCGAGTTGTTGGGAGAGGTTCAATCGTGGATCATATACCACAACACTAACACGCCCCCTCAAACGAAAGCCACTCACAAGGGCTTGAAGTTTACACGGTCTGAAGACAAGAATACCATGTGCTTAACAAATGGCGGTCACCGGGAATCGAACACAAGACCTCTCGGTCACAAAAGGCTCTGATACCATGTCAAGAACCAGTTGGTCCCAATAACTCGAGTGATTGGGATCAACTGGTTCTTGACATGGTATCAGAGTCTTATGTGACCGAAAGACCTTGTGTTCGAATTCCGGTGACCCCCGTTTGTGAAGCACATGGTATCATATATTCATACCTGTGCAAACGAAAGCCCTTATGAGGTGACTAGCTTTCGTTTGAGGGGGTGTTTTAGTGAATGATATATGATCCAAAATTGAATCTTTCCCAACAACTCGAGTTATTGGAATCAACTAATTCTTTACACTAACATGGTCTAGCATTGTCTGTGAGTCTGTCACCACAATAGTAGAGGGTGGTAGAAGATGATATAATTAGTAATGAACTTTTTCCCCTCAAATATGAGAATGAATGTAATTTTGAATATCACATTTATTCATCATTTATTGGTGTCACATCAATGCATATTGATCATATGAGTTGAAAATGCAATACACAAGAATAATTAAGTAAATGTAATTATAAAAAAACCACAATATTTATGGAAAAAACCACCTAATTTTCTCATAAGTTTACTCATCTTTTATTTAGCTTGAAAAATATATATGGTAATTGGTAAATAACACTATCATGCGTGGAAAAGAAGAAGAAGAAGAAGAAACAAAGAAGAAACGATCTTTCAAGTTGAAATCATGCGTCGAGCTCGGACATAAGCAATATGCTTGTCTCTGGGAGGAAGACAATCCACAACAACATCCATAGCCATAACTTTTCTCATCCATTTCAGCAGCTCAGGAACTCTGTCCTCAGTCATCAGTTTCAGAGAATCCTCCACCGCCATTGCTTCTTGAATCACATCAAACCAGTAAGCCATAGCAAACGCAACAATGTCAAGCAACCCGATTCTCTCCCCTCCAAAGTATTCCTCCCCACTCCCCACCAGCTCCTTCTCCAGCAACTTCAGCTGCTCACCCACTTGCCCGATTATCCTCTCGATCTCGCCCCTGTCTTTAGTTTTCACGCTCTTCGCCGCTGTCTGCAAGATCTACACGAATCAACAGTCAATTAGTTTGGGAGCGGACGTACAAATTCAATTCAAGCATATAAATGGCAAACTCTCATGGCTTTACCGTTTCTTCGATGAACTTGATCCAGAATCGAGCGGTGGATCGAGCGAGGGGATCTATGGGGAGGAGTGGGTTGTTGTTGTTGTTGTTCTTCTTCCATGTATCCTCGATGTACTCGAGAATGACGAGTGATTCTGAAATGGGTTTGCCGTTGTGTATGAGGACTGGGATTTTCTTGTGGATTGGGTTGGATTGAAGAAGGAGAGGGGATTTGTTGGACAGGTCTTCCTCTATGTATTGGTAGGGTATGCCCTTCAGTTTAAGGGCTACCTCCACTCTGAATTTGTAAGGGCTGGTCAAAACCCCCAGTAGCTTCACCTCTTCTTCACTCATACTCGGAAAAAGAAGGGTTGCAATTGAATTGAATTGTGTTTTGTGATTTGTGCAGTTTCAAGTTTGCTCTTTTATAAGGACTTCCCTAGTGGTTTGAACTCAGGGGAAGCCAAGTTTGTCTTCCTGTGACGTAGCAGATGACCTCTTTTTTATTTGAAGATAAGATGGTGCCCAAAATTATGGCCCAACAAACCAAACTCACTTGATCACACCCCTACTAGTGGCCAACTTATTCACAATACTCTCAATCCAAAACCAATAAGGAAAAAATGGCCAAAAGGAATATGGGAAGAAGCCCTTTAAAACATTCTAATGCTCGTACTTGGAGTTGGTAGCAGCCAAGAGAGCAGCTCCAATCCCAGACCCGTCTTTCGAGTGCTCAATCACAATGTTTCTCGAAATTTCTGACCCCAAAAGCTCTTCAACAGCCCTTTGCATATACCCTCTATACTGAGGGTAATGCTCGTAGAGGCCACCATCCATTGCCACGACAGTTCGCTTACCGTAGATCGAGCCCTTTGAATCCTGGTCCATCTTCTGCAGGATCCCCACGATCCCGGCTCCTGCTAGCCTCCCTCCTCGTTTCACAATCGCGTCGCAGACCTCCAATGCCACTTTTCTGGAGCTCAGGTTGGACTCCACCTTGTAAAGAGAAATGATAAAATGTAGGCATCAGGTGAGTTGCTTGTTCGAGGTGATTAGTGACTTTTGAAGGGGCTTGAAGTTGAGAACTCTTTTTCGAGTTACCTGGGTTGCATTGTAGAGAATAGAACCAACAGCTTGGAGATCATCAGAGTCGTCTTGCTGCATTGCACACAAGTCCGGAGTTCTGTAATAGCAGTAGTTACATAGTTCATGACGAGCATTAGTGTTTTGTTTGGAAAAGGTTCCGCCTTTCTGGTACACAAACACCCAAATGGAGTTTAGAAACTGTTCCTGACCTGAGGCTAAAAGGGGTGGTTAGTTTCTGTGGGAAACTTCTGCCGAACAAATCCCCTTCTTCTGCCATCTTCAACAGCACTCTTCGGGCGATTTCACCTAGATACATCCCAGAGATCGTCTTCTCAAATATCTGTCACCATTGCACAATGAACATCAACATTTACGGCATGTTACCTGCATTGCAGAAGTCACATTACACAAGGGACAGGTCAAAATGCCATGAAGTTTTCTTTCTCACCTGTTCTCCCGGGTTGATA